AGATAAGAGCTCATAACACATGGAGTCCAGGAACAGGAATGGGAGTAGGAGGGCAAGAGAAAGGTAGGGAGAGGAGGGGAGGAAGGGGGAACCGATCACAATGAATGACACCTAACACCCACACCCACACCCTACCCCCCGGACACACACCAGGGGGATGAACAACAGAAACCATGGAAGAAGGGAGACAGCGTTCAGTGTTGATATGAAAATAATAATCATTTATAATTTATCAAGGGGCCACAAGGCGGGGGTGGGGGGGCAGCTGACACCAAGGGCTCAACTAGAAAGTACATGTTTAGAAAATAATGACAACATATGTACAAATATGCTTGATTCAATTGATGTATGGATTATTATAAGAGCCCCAATAAAATGTTTAAAAAGAAAGAAAGGAGTTGTGGAACTTAAAAAAAAGAAAGAAAGAGACAGCAAGGCCGACCATCAGTGCCTCCTTCCAGCAGCAGATGGGGAGCACAGGTGTGGGGGACAAGGCCACAGAGGTCTGCAGTCTGGACACAGGGCCTTATCCTGAGCCTCTGTGGCTGAGAGGACATTGGCTGGCTGCAGTGGATAGAGGTGGGCAGCCTGACTCTGCTGTCCCTCTGAGGCCTGATGACATCGTCATGAGGGAATGTCCAGAGTACTTCCTTGGTCCAGCTGAAGGCCCAGAGACAGGGCTCCCGGAGATAGGCCCTCCCCGGGGGCTCGCCCAGAGAACTCCCCATGTGTGAGACCCTCTGGGCTAGCTGCTCCGAACTGGGCTCCATGGGTGGCCTTCAGGGGGGTCTGTTCTCACTCACTGCCCCTGAGTTGATTCTGCCTCATAGACACCCTGTAGGACAGGGTTGGACTACCCCTGTGTGTTTCCGAGATAGTAACTCTTTACAGGAATAAAGAGCCTTGTCTTTTTTCCTGTGGAGCAGCGGTGGTTTCAAACTGCTGACCTGCAGGTTAGCAATCAACACAGTAATCCACTATGCTACCAGAGGTCCATTAACTCGGGAATTTTCTAGAAAAGGATAGCTTTCATCAGATTCTCAGGGTGGTCTCTGCACCGGAAAAGCTTAAGAAACAGTGTGGGGAGGGGGGCACTTTCTGGTTGTGCTGCAGTCTTGGGAGAGATGTGAGAACCCACAGACCCTGTGTGCTATCCCCAGCCCCAGACTGAGATTGAGAGGCATCAGGGGCCTCTAAGCCAGGGAGAAGGTAGGCCACAGAGCGCCCGGCCTCAGCCATCCCGTACTCTCACCAGCTCCTCTGGCTTGATCCCTCAGGTGCGCCAAGGCCCAGCCTCGGCGCGCCCTCAGCGTGGAGGACGTGAGCGCCCCGAGCCTGGCCCGCACGGTGGGCCGTGTGGTGGAGGTTTTCCCAGACGGAACGAGCCAGCTGCAGCTACAGCGCTCCCCTGAGGGCACGTTTGGCTTCCGCGTGGCCTCGGGGAATGGGCGCCGAGACTCAGGTATGCCCCTCCTTCCTGGGTCCCCCAGCCCAGGTCCCGCGACCAGAAGTTCTGCGCTCGCGGAGGGAAGCAGTCTGTGCTTGCCAGCCCTCGGGCTCCTTTTGCTGTGGTTGCTGTGCTCCGATCGCTCCCTCCTCCAGCTAGTGCTCTGCCTGGGCATGTAGGGTGAGCCTGCCTGTCCGTGTCCACGGCCCGGCCCGGGCCCAGCGCCGAAGGGCTGAGTCCAGATGGGTGCCCGCGCACGCCCTGGGCTGGGCTGTCACTGGGTCGGTGGGGAGCACGCCAGCTGGTGCCCGGTGGGGCCCGGGCGGTGATCTGGGACTGAGAAGGCCAGGTCTTCGTCCCGGGGCTGTGGGCAGATCCATCTCAGGACAGAGGGGCCTGTAAGGCACTTCGCTCATAGGATGAGGGAGTGGAGGGGAGCGGAAGGAACGCGAGCTAAAGGTTCAGGACTTGGAGGGCACGCCCACCTGAGCCGAAGGACCCGCCCACCGAGGCCTGGAGGCCGGCTGGGCTCTTCCTGGAGGCGGTGCTCCTGAGCTTGCGTGGTGGGAGTTACTGAGCCGGAGACAAAGCAAAAGGCAGTGTGAAGTGCCTACATCGATTCCCCCATTGATTGTTTCAGCCAATATATGCGCAGCACCTAATGCCAATACACCCTCTTCCTTTAGTGTTCTTACCCCTTAAAAACAAAAAACTTGGAGGGAGAGGGGACAAAGCACAAAGGCCCTGAGGCAGGAGGATGAGCAGGGCCATGGGGTGGGCTGTGGTGTGTGCATGTGGGCGGGGGCGGGGCACTCCCCAAGATCGGGGCCCCAGGTGGTAGTGAGGGCTTAGGCTGGGATGCTGAGGGAGGGGGCGCTGCTGCAGGGCTGGGGGCAGAGAGCTGGTGAGCTTCCAGCCCTGCTGGAGGCCCTGCTGAGAACCAGCCCTAGCTGGGCACAGAGGACTGCCAGCCGCTGTAGAGGAGCGATTTCAGTTGTGAGGAGAGAAACAAAGGTGGAATCTGCATTCTGGGTGTGTTTTGAAGGTAGTTGCCACTTGGCTTGCTGATGGGCTCGATGTGGGAGAAAGGGAAGATAGATCTTTCCCCATTGTGGGCCTCGACGGGGAGTAGGTCACTGCCTGTCCCCACAGAGAGCCATGTTGTGGGCATGGACTGGCTCTCTGTGGGGACTGGCTCAGGGGTTCTGCCCTCAGTGGGCTGGGGCCCACTCTTAGCATCCGTCCTTTCTCCTTAAAAAAAAAAAAAATTGTCCTGGAGGTGATTCCGCTGTGTGTCAGGGTAGCACGGTGCCCACAGGGTTTTCAATGGCAGATTTTTCAGAAGAGAATCACCCAGCCTTTTTTTCAAGGTTCCTCCAGGCCCTCCTCAGTAACTGAGCTCATTAAGGTCTGCACCACCCAGGGACTTGTAAGGTGGGCCCTTTCAGTGACGCAGTGTGAAGTCCCAGAGTTAAACCACCCCAGTGTGGTCTGTACAAGGGGGTACCCCCCCAAAAAAAAACCAAACAGAATTGTGCTGGGCGGAGCAGAGCTTTTGTAGTACGTAGTTTTCCTACTAGGCGAGCATCCAGCAACTGTCTCTGAGTTAGTGCACCCAGTGGCGTTGCCTGGGAAGGTTCTCTGGTCACAGTGAATTTTTTTCATATAAGCAGTTTGGCTTGAAGCTCATTTTTTGTAATGGCCTATTTCATAGAACAGCATGTGGCTGGGAAATTTTGTTTCCTGCTTGGGAAAAATGCTGCAGAAATGATGTTGAGCACAGCTTACAAGGTCAGCACTGTGGGAAAACTCGTGTACAAGTGGTTTTTTGGTTTTTAAAAAAGGTGAAATGTTATAGATGTCTGTCAACTTCCCAAATGACGAAAATGTCAACTCATAGGGCATTTGGAGTTGGTTCCACCAGGTCAAACTGTTGATAAAGATTTCTGTTTAGAGGTGCTGAAAAGATTTCTTAACAGTGTACAACAAAAAAGACCTGCATTGGTTGTGGCAGACAGGGACTGGTTTTGCCACCATGACAATGTACCTGCTCATGCAGCCATCTCAGTGCTCCAGTTTTTGGCTAAAAAAGCATGCCTCTCTTTCCCCATGGACCTCACTCACCTGACCTCTCTCTGTGCGGCTTCTTTTTGGTTCTGTGAAGAAGAGGGACATGACTCTGTGAATGAAGAGGGACAGAGTAGCAGGCAGGGAGGGACATATGAAAGTGGCTTACACTCACTCCCCCACTACTTTCTTCAGAGAGAGAACGTGTATTTGAGGAGCAGAACCTCAGGTGGGGGCCTGTGGATCTATGTCCCCAAAGCCCCAAGAAAACCCCAAGAACCCATTTTTGGTCCTTTGTAGGCAGAAGGTACCCTCGCACAGAGCCCCGGGAACCCGGGTCTCCAGTGACCAGAGCATCTTGCTGAGGTTGGTGAGCACCCCTCCTGGCCATGGCCTCCTCTGACACACAGAAGCCCAGCAGGTGCCTCCTGGCCACAGGCTGCCCCAGCAACTGAGGATCCTTTCCCTGGACCTCAGAGGGGCCTGGAGCTGGGGCTGGCTTGCACTCACCACTCACCTATCCAGGAGCTGGCTCTATACAAGCATGTGAGAGCTGAGCTGCCCTCCATGCTAATCGGCTGCAACACAGAGACCACACATCAGCATCCAGTCGCTGCTACCAGACAATTAGTGCCAACAATAGTAGTCTTGCTACCACATTTTTGTCACAGCTCAGTTGCAAACCTGCTCCAGCGCCCCCTCAAAATGGCTCACCTCACCCCTCAGTACCTGCGTTCTCACGTCAAGGCAGCTCTGAACACACCCGCAGAGAAGCAGGGAAAGAGGCTCAGGTAGAGAGCAGCCCGGTGCAGCCAGGAGGGCAGACACAACTAGTTGCTAGGTGGGAGACGGAGCCCCGCAGAAAAGGGCCAGTGACCAACAGCAGGGCGCCCCCCACCTGGGACCCAGGAAAAGGAGCACGTATAAAGATAGGATTGGTACGCTCCCCGTGCCTGAGGAGGAGCGGACAGCGCCCATCCCCTAGGGAGAAACCAAACCCCAGACGCATGCCTTCGGTGTCAGAGTAGAACTGTGCTCCATGGGGTTTTCATTGGCTGATTTTATAGGAGTAGCTTGCCAGCCCTTTCTTCTGAGGGACCCCTGAGTGAAGCTGAGCCTCCCACTGCCAGCAGCATGCTAACCATTTACACCACCCAGGGACTCACTCCACCGGGCCAGAAGCTGGGCGTCATGTGCCTGTATGGGGTTGGATGTGGGCTGGAGAGAGGGCTTCCCATCACACCAAAAGACAAGCCCACTGCCATCAGGTCAGTCCAACTCTGTAAGGACAGATAGGTCTGCTTCACAGGGTTTCCAGCACTGTGACTCTTTAAGGGTGCAGACAGCCTGAGCATCCTCCCTGGGAGCAGGGCATGAGCTTGAACTACCGACTTTGTAGTCAGCAGCCCAAGCCCTAACCCGCTGCACCACCAGGATTTCTTGACTTCCCTCTTAGTTGTACTAAGATGCACTAAGCGACGTCAAGCTACAAGCCGAGGAAGCAGCCCAGGTGGCAGATACACCGCCACTTCCAGAGCCTGAGCTAGAAAGAGGTATTGGAGACCGACCCGCAGGGGCCTGAGAGAAGGGCAGGAGGTCGGCCCTGCTGAGCTGCCTCCACGCACCATGGCAACAAGACCCACTGCTCAAACTCAGACCCTGTGGGCCACAAACAGCTGCCTGCCCGCATCTGACTGCTCAGGTGAACCAGCTGAAAGGGGTCTTTAAAGGTTTCGGCAGTGCCGTAAGGAAGCCCTGCTCAGCCAGACTCTCAAGCACTGTGGCCAGAGAGGCTGGGGACTGAGTTTCTGCCAACCCACTGAGAGGCCCCAGAAGCCGGCCCAGACATGAGCAGACAAGCTGGGAGGGTCTTTCGGGACACCCTCATGGAGAACGTGGGCAGGGGCTGTGTGGAGGGCATTGGCTCCTGCCTTAGACACTGCATAGAGGAGTATTCGGCTCCTTGTGCCTGTACGTAGTGCAAGGTCATGGTGAACAGGCATGGTAGTAAGCCCTCACAACACGCAGTTAGAGGCAGAGAAGCAGAAGTAGCCATCACAATGTGCAGTGGTTAGAGTTCAGATCTTTAGACTTCGGGCTTCTGTCTTTACACGAGGGTGGCTTAACACGGTGGAAGCTGGTGGAGGTCCCTCGCAGCTGAGGTCTGAGGTCCTGGGTGGACAGTCTCAACTGGCCCTTGGTGTGGCCTCCTGCCCTCTCCTTAGTGAGCAGAAACCTCAGGTGTGTATGTCAGTTTGTCACCGTGGCTCCACACGACAAGTGCCAGGGTGATGTCAAAAGTGAGCGCATGGTGTTCTTTTCTCCAGGGTTAGAGGGTAGCGGAGGAGAGGGGAGAGATCCGGGAGGTCGTTGGGGCTTAGGTCTCCAGGCTAGTTAGCAGAGATGAACTCTGCCCGTCTTTCTTTATCGCAGGGCCTTCATCTTAGCTTAGAGACCGTCTGCCCTATCCACCAGCTTCTCCACGTTTGGAAACGGCCCGGAGAACTTGCTCCTGACTTACCGGTTCTCGGGACTGAAAGTTAATGTTGCACAGTCTCGAAAAGGTAGTCCTCTCTTGAAATTCACATTCTGACAGCATTCTGGAAGCCTACCGCCAACTTACTCTGTGCCTTATGGGATTTGAGGGCATTACCCCCCAAAGCGCAAAGGGCTCTGTAGAAATATGGGTTAGGATTTTGACTCTCCCCGGGTGCTCCCAGATCCCAAGCGAAGAGCCGCACCTGAGTACAGCCCCAGGCAGGAGTGACCCCGCTCTGGCCCGCCACTTTGCCAAGTCAGTGGTATCCCTAACCCCCACCCTCACCCCCTGCTACACCTGGGTTTCTGAGGGCAGCAAGTGGGTCGTGTTTGTGACTCCCAAGTAGAGCCAGGTAATTGTCTGAAGTCATGTTGAAAGACTTTTCTTCTCATTCACAAAGGAAAACTCACCTGGGAAGAAGAGGTGCCTGGGTCCTTCCCACCAGGGAGCACATGGGCTGGAGGCATTTCCATTTCTGTCCAGGGGAGAGTTGAAGCCCCTGTGGAGGGGGCTGCGCCACCCTGAGCACCCGGCCAGCTGTGGCTGTGCCCAGGAGCACTGAGGGCACGGGTGCGCGTGCGCAGCGCTTTGACTGCGATTCCATGTGCTACATTCTAGCGTTTTCCTTTGCAGGGTTCTACGTGCAGGAGATGGCCGATGCCAAAACGGCCAAGCTGTACTCGGGGCTGCTGGGCGTCGGGGACGAGCTGCTGGAGGTGAACGGGGCCAAGGTGGCCGGGCTGGGCCTGGCTCATGTCTCAGAGCTCCTGGCCCGTGCTCAGAGCCTGTCACTGCGCGTGCTGAGGCAGAGGCCCGCCCCACGGTGATCCAGAGCAGCCGGCCCTCGCTGTCACCGCTCGGACGCTCTGGCCCTCCTGAGGGCCGCTTGGGAATGGGCTGCTGCAGCCAAGGGCCCCAGGAAGAGGCTGGGGGCTGGTGTGTGGATTTGGTATTAGCCAATTGATGCAGAACTGGGGAAAGAAAGGGAGAGCCCCCCTCTGAGCCAGAGGTGGCATGCCAACCGTGCACCCTGGTTGGCAGGAGGAGAGAGTCCAAGAGGCCCTTGTTGGTCTCAGAGCCAGCTGGCCCCCAGGTCCCATCCCCCTCTGCCACAGCCCCCAGCCCCAGCACCCCAGACCCCAGGAAAGGGCCTGCCATGTTGGCCTGAAGCCCTTTCCATTTTTTCTTTCACCTTTTGCCTTACGACTGTTCCTAGCCTTTTCTGGAAATGGACAAAGTGGCCTTACTGCCGGGACCATATATTCTAAAGCCAAACAATGGAACGTGCCCTGAGCCTGCACGTGAGGACGTGAGGGATGCTACCCAAACCCAAACTCACCGCCACCCAGCCCCTGTGGACTCACGCGGACCCTAGGAGACAGGGTAGAGCTGCCCCTGGATGTTTCTGAGGCTGTCACGCCTTACTGGTGTAGAAAGCCTCAGTTTTTCTCCCTCAGAGCGGCTGATGGTTTTGAACTGCTAACCTTGCATTTAGTAATCTTGATGATCTATAACTAAAGAAAACAACCGCCATTTCCGATCAGTCTCAGGGAAGAACAGCTGTGTGAACCCCACTCCAGCCCTGGCTCCAGCTGCAGGGTGGGGGTGGGGGCAGTCCTGGGTCACCCTCGGCCTCCCTGGCCCTCCTTCAGGGTCCCACCTTCTATGAGCTTGCAGACAGCGCTACCGTAGGAGCCAGGCTGTGGCCCTGCCACATGCCCGGCCCAGACCTCCCCGAGCCGACAGCAGCTGGCTGCCGGGAGAGCAGGAGGGAAGGGCTCTTACTCATGAACACCTACCAGAGGGCTGGGAGGTTTAAAATGATTAAAACCCAGGGCCGGCCATGGGTTTAAAAGGATTAAACAGTGGAGCTGAAGCTTCTCCCACCGTGTGGCTAAATCTGGGCCGCTCCCTTGTTGAGCCTTCACTGGCCACAAGCAGGGTCTGGGATGGGGGGCGGGGGCGGGGGACAGGCACTGCCAGGGGTGGTGCTGGGTGGGCCGAGGGGAGGTCGAGGGGCTCCCAGAATTAGTGTACAGCCAGCACAGCAACATGTGCCTGCAAAGACACCCTTGGCGCGGTGCTTGTGAGCCAGCGAGAGGCTGCAGAGAAGGGGCTGGGGGAAGGGAGAGGGTGGAGAAGGCAGCCCCCGGGCTGTCGTAGAAGGCGGTGGGCTTCGGGTGTGGACACACGTGCACATACCCCACACATCCCACACACCCCTATTCAGCTGAATCCGTGAAGACGAGTAACGGGCGGCTTTCAGCAGGCAAGTAGGCCCCAAGAGACATGTGCTGGTAGCCTGAGGAAACGGCCCCTGGCAGCTGTCTGTCTGACTCAGTCAAGCCCATGCCACACAGAGCTGGTGCTGGGTGGGTGATCCTCTATATGCAGGGTTTCCAAGGCTGCAACTCTTTGGGGAGCAGACAGTCTCATCCTTCTCCCTCGGAATGGCTGGTGGGTTTGAACCTATGAACTCTAGGTTACAGGCCCACACTCATCTCCACAGCCCCAGCGGGAGGAAATGGACATCTGGCGTTAGGGCTAGGGGCAAAGGGTCAGGAGGGCGGTGAGGCAGGGAGTAGTCTCCGAGGAGACTGGAGCCCCGGCGTCTGCTACCTGCCAGGTGCCAGGCCAGGGTCCTGGCACATCTCATCTGGGCTTTAAAACGAGGGAGCGCCTGCTGTTGACTTCATGTTCTAATGTGAGGGTCCGGGACAATGATTCTAAACAAAATCCACTGAGTGGATTCTGACTCGTGGTTGCTGTACATGTGGTTTCCAGGGCTATGAGGGCAGGTAGCTTGTCTTTCTCCGAGGAGGAGCGGCTGGCCGGGGGCGGTTTGAACCCAGGACCCTGAGGCGTAACAGTGCGGCGCTTCTTTGGCAGCATTGCACTGGCTGGGAACGGGCTCCCATTGGGCAGGTGAGAATGCCACCCGCTCTGTGGGATGTCTGACTGGGGGACCCACTCTCCCTCCTGCTGCTGGTCCCCATTCCAAGAGAAGGCATGTCACAGGTCACACACCCCAGCTCCCCTGAGACAAAGCAGAGGGACTTGGCAAGGTGGGAGGGGCTTTGGTTCCTCCAGCCTCTGGTCTGACCTCCCGCATCTGTTGACCTAGAAGCCTGGTCCAGCTCAGCCTGACACAGTCAACGTGGAGCCCCCCAAACCTTCTTACTTAACACGGAATTTAGTGACCCTGCCCAGGCCCTGTGCCCCAGGCAGCGGGGGTCTAGACTTGGGGGGATAACTCTGATCCTCCCAAGAGTCGGCTTTTCTCTAGGCTCTTGGGATGGGCAGGGTGGCTGGAATCACAAGGGTGCCGGCAGCATCCCAGGTCTCCAGCCATGGTACACCCCCTCCAGCGCTGGGAGATGAGCACGGAGTGCGCCCTGGGCCTCCTGCAGCCTTTGTGCCCATGTCACTGCTTGGAGGCAGGCGGGGAGGCCCTGGCGGCTCAGCTCACAGCATGGCCGGAAAGCGGTGAGGTGCTATCAAGCGGGTGCTGACATGTCCCCTGCACACCAGCACAGAACACAGCCGGATCCTTGCCGTCCTCACAAGGGTGATGTGTGAGCCCTCGGTGCGGCACTGAGTGGATCCATCTTGTGGAAGGTCTTCCTCTTTCACAGACCCTCCTCTGTAACAAGCATGACGCCTGACACGGAGCAACACACACACACACACACACACACACACACTGCGCCTGAACTCAGACGAAGGGACCAACTTCCGGTGACGGCACTTGCTCAAAGGTGATGGCGGAGGTGCCGGCACACAGGGGCTAGAGCCTCCCTTCGGGTGAGCTGGGGTGCTGAGCAGGATGGGAGGGGGTGTCCTGTGGTCCCAAGCATGCCAAAGGAAACGCAGACACTGGTCACATTTTGGAATCCTGGTTATTGTGGGACAGAAAGGTACAGTCACGGAGCCTTTGGCTTGCTTTAGCTTCTCCACAAATCATCTGCACGTGATGGGCAATCAGGACACAGTTCTGAATCCTGCCAGCGAGCGGCCACTCATGTCTGGGTTACCAGCTAGGAGTCCGAGGCTCAGAAAGGTGAAACCACTCGTCCAGGGTCGCAGCAGCAAACACATAGTAGAGGCGGGCTTTGAACCCAGCCAGCCCTCTGTGACTCTAGTCCGCCTCCTTCCAGCAGCCTGGGCCCAGAGGTGGTGGGCTCTTTGAGAGCACGCACCTGCCCGCCTGACAAAGACCCCGGGACCTGAGGGTAGGCCAGGCTGGGCGGGTCCCTCTGCAGCTGGGATCCACGGAGGGGGGGTGGCGGGGAGGGGCTTAGTTTCCATTTCCCACGTGGCTGGCGTCCCCACACCTCCCCCAGGGGCAAGCAGAGCGCACCTTTCCAGAGCAGCGTTTCCAAACTGCAGGTACAACACGGCAGTAAAACCAGTCCCATGGGCCCAAACTGGACTCATCCCACAGGTTACCATATATGAGCTACAACAGGGCTCCGAGACGTTGGTGGTACATTCCCATGATCTTTTCATCCCATTTCCCCACACACTTTTTGAAGCCCCGTCATGGGGAAGTAAAAAAGTCAGGCAACGACACCACAGAAATCTTTCAAAATGTGAAGCTATTCTTTCTCGACCCGTGCATCCTGTCGAGGTCTGTGCCCTACTGATGGTGGTCGTGCCCGCTCCCCAACCCTCCCTTTGAATCACACCACGCCAAAAAGGCCGCGTCGACATCCTCAGCCACCTCAAGCCATGTTCCTTTTCAATGTTCTTTAAGTTTGGGGAGCAAAAAGTCTGAAGGGGCAAGACCCAGGGTTTGGGGAAGGTAGGGTATGGCTTCCCAATGAAGTTCTTGGAAGGAAACCCTTACTGCCCTTGAAGATGAGTGGGTGCAGTATCCTGTTGGGGCAGTTTTCCTGGTGCAGCTTGTCTGGCTTAACACTGCTGCTTTCCTAAAGAACTCAAGTCAAATGCCACGAGAATTGTGTTAACCCTATAGGGCAGGGGAAAACGGTCCCCCTAGGATTTCTGAGGCTGGGAATCAACGGCCCCAGCGTTTCCCCGGGGAGCATGGCAGTGAGCCGCCGGCCATGTAACCTCCATGCCATGGCCGTGTCCACTGAGAAAGGCTCTTAAGACTCCCCCAGGGAACCCCAAGAGCAGTCCCTAGGACCTTCTGAGAGGGCCTTCCTGCTTTGAATTTAACTGGTCCAGCTCAGCAGCCACTGTTTTGATCGGACCATTGTTTGTTTCTTTGGGATGCAGCTGAATGAGACTGACAAGCCTATCACCAGTGTATTCCTGAGAGCACTCGTCTGGAGCCACCCACCGGTCACAAAGACGTGTTTAAGGTCATTTTCGGGGGGAGAAGCCTGTGCCTGTGTGACCTAGAGTCCTACTAGCAACACTGGCCCTCACCTGTGCACACGGGCCTTGTGGAAACCGCCATCTGCGTCCACCACCACCGCCGCCAAAACACCCGAGGTGGTTTCTGTACAGCGAGTTCTGCCTCCCGCTGACCTCCTGGCTCAGAGAACGGCTCCGTGGGCTTTTCTGGGCTGTTGTTTTATTTATTTGATAGTTTTTATAAGAGCAGATCTCCACACACACATACGAGTGGAGATAAAAAAGTATGGAAAAACATTCCTAAGTATATGAGCCCCTACCAATATGTACATATACATACATGTATGTAAATAATATGCTTATGTAAATATAGATATCAGAGCTACACAAGGGGGCTTCACACATTGATGGAAGAATTATAGTAATTTTATTGGTATATGATTAACATCTTACAATTTAATAGTTCAGTCATGAGAAGTTCTGCAAGCAACTCCACAATCAATTTCAGAACATCTTTCGCATACTCATTGTGAGCTCCCTACTTCCCCCAACCTCCCCTGCACCCCCTAGGTAATTATTAATCCAGTTACTGTCTCTGTAACTTTACACATACAGAATATCAGACCAGACATGAAACAAAACCCAACTACAATAACAAAGCAGAAAAACCTCAATAGAAAAAAAAACAGAAAATATTAAAAACAATTTGAAAATGGGTCAAAAGAGAACAAATGATATTACATTTTAACCTAACTGCATCTGCTATAATCAACTTTATAAAGCTGTCTGATAGCAAGGCTGCTCGCGTCTCTGGACTATGATCAGAGGGGGTTCACCAGGTGGGGACTCCACAAATGGATTTTAGGCTTCCACCGTCTTTTTTTCTTTTTCTTTTTGCCTTTTGCAAACCAGGTGTTCATAATTTAAGCTGATTCTGTCCCTTCCTCTGGACTTGGATTTTATTATCTATAATCCTTGCGTCACACAGGCTGGTATTTGTCCTCCTTATGAGCTTAGTTGGCACATCACTTAGGGGGCTGCTTATTTCAAGATGAGCCTTTTAGCCCAAATGTTATTTCTTCTGATAGTGGGGCACCATCTGATTTCTTCACTGCATGACATAGCACCTATGTCTTCAGGGATCTGTTCATGCGGGCAAGTATCGAGTAAGGCCATGTCATAAGAACTAATTATTCTTAGATTAGGGCTATGATTAAGTGTGAAGCCAAAACCCATTCATATATCTCTGGTTCACTTGAGAGACATCATTATCATTTTTTGATAGAGAACTTTATAAACTATCCCTATGGGACATATTATAGTGATATCATTAATTCAGTCAATAGAATTTAAAACACTGTTGAGAAACACTGTGGTTCAGACAACAGTACATGACTTGTTGACTTGTACAGACTGGAATTAAGTGACTGGACACTATTTGCGCGAACTGAGGGTTAGGGGTAGGACAAAGCTTTCAATGACACTCATTCACAAAGGCAGAGCCATGCCTGCCAGATTCACCTATGTCACACAAGGCAAGGAGAAAACAATAAAGCTATGGTAGTCCAGGCCACCGGACACCGGGCACCTGGGAGCCAGAGTCCCCTGCTTTGCTCACAGGAGGATGTTTGAGCCTTAAGCCCCAGGGAGTATATCTGTTCCTTAAATCTGCTACAGGTGAGTTTAGGGTAAAGCCAGTTGGTGGAGTTTGGTGGCATTTCCACATCGAATCCCAGTGTAGCCTATGAAGGATGCTGTGTGCGTAGAAAGGACAGAGTCTGAAGTCCCCGTATGTGGCTCAGACACTAGGGCCTGGATCGAAACTAGGTCAAAAGTGTCCAATTAGGAACATAACCCCTTGGGTTCAATATAAATATTAAATGTTACCCCTGCGCCCATGGCAGGTTGTCCCACCCAGTTTACCCACCAACAGAAGGATAACGGCCTTTTCTAAGACAGACATGCTGCCATCCCCCACCACCCTCAGGGCCCCTCCCCCGCAAAGCCCCGTCATGGCTGACTTGAATTTCCAGGAAGGGTCCTTTATAGAAGGGTCTGTGGGTCGGGGCTACCTTAGAACAACGTTGTATAATAGCAACTGATGGATCTTCTCTCCCTTTCTTGAGAAACGGACCCCAGGTGAGGTGAGGTCTCCTATCAAAATGGTTTTTAAGATGTACAAACAAAAGGAGTTCATGAGCACTGGATAGGTCAGGAGACCAGATGAGAAGACTCTCTTTTCATTCTATTATTCCACAGACTTCGGAAGCTCCCTCCCTGCTACCACGGTGTTCAGACTCACAGGGACACTGAGTAGTTCCCAGGGCTGTAGACCTGTACAGGAGCAGATAGCCTCAGCTTGCTCCCAAGGAGCATTTGGTGAGTTTGAACCACCTACCTTGCCATCAGCCGTCTGACCCTTGCCAAGGCTCCTTCCTATGTGTATAAGTCATTGTTATTATTAGAGAGTTGAGTCGATTCCAACTCATAGTGACCGAGTTGAAAAAACACTGCCCGGTCCTGCGCCGTCCACACAATTGGTTTTATGTCGGAACCCACTGTCACAGCCACGGTATCAATCCATCTTGTCAAGGTCTTCCTCCCTTGCGCCGCCCTCTACCTTACCGAGCACGGTACCCTTCTCCAGGGTCTGGGCTCATCTGACAACTCCAAAGCAGGTTCGATGAAGTCTGTGTCCTCGCTTCCAAGGAGCATTTAGCTCATTCATCTTCCAAGACAGATCTGTGAGTGCTTCTAGAAGCAGCGCATGGTACTGTTAGTATTCTCCACCAATACCAGAACTTGATGCATCCACATGTGTATACAGATACATACAAACAATAGAGTGCAGCACACAAAACAAGGGTAGACTTTATTGGGGGAAGTATTTTGTTCAAGTGGGCGTGTGTCCTAGGTTGGAACTGAAAGTCTGCCCTGCCTCTGGACAGAAGCTGAAAACAATGCGTCTGGGCCAAGGCTGCGAGGCGGCATCAGGCTCCCCCATCGGGCCTGCATTCAGCTCCACCATGGCCTCTCATCTCGGCTGAGGCTCTGCAGCCTGGGCCGAGGAAACCTTCCCCAACCTGGACACTGCACGGCTGTTAGTTGTTCAGACAGCACAGGGAGGTACTGGGTGCTTTAAGATCGAGAAAGGTGTACGTCAGGGTGGTGTCCTCTCCCCGTACTTATTCAATGTGTATGCTGGGCTGTATGAAGATTGTAGGCAGGCTTGTTAACAACCTGCAGAAGGCTTGCTTGCTGCGATAACCCTGCTTGTTAAGAATGAAGAGCACTTATTAGTGGCAATGGAAGAATGCGGCCTTCAGGGTGGGTGACAAACTCATGTCAGGAAGACAAGACCCTGGCAGTGGGAGCCACAGCCCAAACTCAAGACACCAAACGCCCTGCCATCGAATCCGTTCCGACTCCTGTCTCCTGTGGGTGCTGCACGGATCCAGGCAGGAAGACAGCCGTGCGTGCGGGCGCTGGCTAACAGCTGGTCTGTCTGAGGGTGCCGGAGGAGCCCTGTGGTGTCACGGGTTACGCATTAGGCTTGATGGAGGGGACAAAGATCACAGATCCAAATGTTATTTATAGGGACACATTTAGCAAGTCTTACATGGGACAAAGACAATTGATCCGATGAGGGAAGCCCTGGGCACTACTCGATAGTGGAGCCCACGGGTTCCTCGAGGGCACGGGAGGCCAAGGAAACCATCAGCGAAGCATGCCGGGCAGCAGAGGCAGCTGTGCCAGCTGCAGGAGGGACAATAGCAGCATGGTGGGGCCATGAATGGGACAGTACAGCAAGGTACACGGACGAGCTTCCATGTATGATTCATGGCTGTGTGGCCCCAGTGCCCCAATTCCATCCAGGGCACACCCAGGGACGTGTCCGAGCGTTGGGCTGCCCCTCCCCGGGCTGGCTCAGGGTTCACTTGCAAACACACGCTGCCTGAGGCCGAATCTCTGTGGACTCTCAAAACGGGTCTAGGGCTTTCACTGTAATTTGTAGTCTTATGCAAATGAGTGCTCAGAATCTAAGCTCTAATGGTGTATGATTAACCCCTCGGTGTATGGGTCCCACCTTCCGAGGGTGAGAGTGGAGGCTCTGTCTCCATAATAATCCTCGGGAACCATGAGGAGTCCCACCTGTGCTAGGGTGTGGAACCAGCCAGTAAAGGCCGTTCAGCGTGCCTGGCCTTCCGGAGGAGCGGAAGAGCATCCCCCAGTTGACGTCCTTGTTGCCAAGAGGCCAGGGACCCAAGAACAAAGCGTGCTAACAGGGCTGGATTTTCCAGTCCTCCAAACTGGCCCTGGACACTCTCCTGCCCCTAGGTGCCTGCTCTGGGTGGGGAGCATGTCATGACCTCTACATGACCCTTCTCGGAGTCGCTCACCCCTGGCTCTTTCTGGCAACCACTAGGCTTCCTGAATCCATCTGCCCAGCCCGCCCTTCGAGCTGGAGCTTTTCAAAAGGCCCTGTTGTCACTTGCCCCCCATGCCCACTGTCTGCTGGGAAGTCTCTCTGGTTCCCACCAAGCCAGAGCCCCAGCTGAGAAGTGGCGCCAGCCTTCCTGGGCAAGCAGCTCTGCCTGGCTCTGCCCTGCTGGCGGTGGGCTTACCCAGGTGGCAATGCCCCCAGGAAGGGGCTGAGATGGGTCCAGAGGCTCTGCCCGAGAACCAGGGCCTAACCAACAGCTGTCCTGCCGGGCCTGCAGGGCACCAGGGCTCTCCTGGGGCTGCAGGGCTGCCTGCCCGCCGGCTCTGTTGGTCTTGCCCTTCTGTCATCCGGTCTCATGCCTCCCTTCACACCAGTTGGAATTGCCCACAGGGACCTGGCCAGATGTCCAGCACTGAGAAGCCAGCCTGCTCACATCCCCAGAGTGGGGACAACTGTGAAAATAATGGGCCAACCAAGGCGGTTTCCCCAAAGAGCCAGCCTGGCCAGTCCCATGGCCTTGGGACACCAGGCTGCCTTCAACCCTGGGATTAAGCTCAGGACCACACACTGGTAGTTGTGGGGCTCCCATCCGTGTTCCTGTCTAAGCAGTCATGGCTTTGAGCCTCACCCTGAGCCCCAGACTGCCGTGTTCCAGAGCTTTTCTGAGCGTATGTGTGCAGGGGCTTGACACACCTTTTGCACATTCCCAGCCAAATAAACCACAAATGGTACAAATATTTGTAACCAGGAGGGTCTGAGCTCCTCACGCTACAAGCTTCAGAGTTTGATGTATGGTCAACGTCACTGGTACCCACGTCACTGGTACCCACGCTTTCCCTTATGCACCTCTAGTTCAATGTTCTGTTCCATCACCACCGTGTCAAGCTGTGACCCTCCGCAGGTCCCTCCGCGGCACCACCAGTTGTGAGCCGTGACTCTGTGAAATATCCATGCCACCGTCCGTGCAATATCTGCTGCTCCCACCGGAGCCCCCAATGGTCCTGCCAGACCTAACTGACCGACTCAGTGACTGTTTAATCAGCCTAAGTCCCGCATTCCAGCCGTGGCTGTGGGTTACCCTCGAGCTGATTCTAACCCTAACCACCCTACAGATGCAGAACTGGCCCATGGGCTGTCTTGGGCTCTAGTCTGCCATGTCTGTCCTCCCGCAGAGCAGCTGTCGGCTCCAACTTCAAGGTTAGCAGCTCAGGTCTTCACCGTTGACCACGAAGGCTTCTTACTAGACATCTCTTCAGGGAAATCCCAGAATGGCCCCATGCCCAGGCTTCATGGGTTAAATGGGCCTCCACTGTCTCTCTCCTATGGTACAGTGAGAATGAACAGTGTCTCGCTCCACACTGAGCCCTGGTGGTGCAGTGGTTGTGTGTTGGGCTGTTAACCATAAGGTCCGGAGTTCAAAACCATTAGCTGCTCCTTGGGAAACAGATGAGGCTTTCTATACCTGTAAAGAATTACTGTCTTGGGAACCGGCCAGGCAGTTCTACCCTGCCCCATC